GTTGATGTCCGTACCTATGGAAGTTTAAAATCACGAAGAATAATGATTTATCATGTTTTTATTTTATCAATCGTTAATACGTTTTACCTATCGGCATCTTCACCGAGTAAAGTAATCACAGCAGAGTCTGCGAGTGTTATGGCAGGAGCTGAGAAAAATTCACCAACTACGACTAACAATAATAAGAGGAAGAACGTTTTGTGTATATCCTGAAAAAAAAAAGAAGATCCATTGTTTGATAGTATGAAAAAGAGAAATAAAAATCTGAAATAGATGGATAGAAAGGAAGAAATCGTAGGTGTTATAAAAATAGATTCTACATGTGGATCATTGTCTTAAGTAGACAAGTTGATTAAAGCATCCTGGTTCATTAATAATCCGTTCATGGCATATTTTTTCATATGCCAATGAAATAAAAAACATACCGGTAATCTGTATACGATGGAACTGAAAAGCGGCTTGACCCAACCATTGTTCTCCTTCTCGTTATAATTAACGGCATATGTAACTGGCAGAGGACTTTGTCCAACTGAATTTCGCACATTTCGTTTGTTTCTAACTAACGTTTCGTCCTGGAATGCCTCGTCTTTTCCCTCTTCTCTCTCTTCGAACTCTTCTTCCTCCAAAGACAACAGTTTCCGTAGACTCTTCATACTTGACCATGTAGCCTCGTTGTTATCAAAATTAGCATGAGATATTTCCTGATCTTGATGAATCTCACGACGAACCATCATCTTTTCTTTTGGTGGCTTCATTCTTTCCTTTGTTCGACCTTGATACGCCTTTTTAGGTACTCTGCCTGCTTCAAGGGGCTCATTCTACGAGAAATAATCAAAATAAAAAAATACTTATTAGTAAATTTGTTCGGATTAATCATGGATTTCACGAAAGACGCGACATTACTTACTTTGAGAAAACGTTTATATTCGAGTACATCAGCGGGTCGATTTTTTCGTTGTAAAGCCTCGAAATCGATGATCTTTGCATTAGGATCGCTAGTATCGTCCTCGAAAACCAATTGCTCGTATCTCAGATCTCCGGAAGAAGTATTCTCTTCGTTCGAAGCAGCTCGACGTTTTCTTACTCGATTATTTTCAAGATCATAGATTGTATGAGCTTCCTCGTTGTTATCATCATTGATCTTCTTAATCTCATTTTGCTCGATCACATCAGTCTTAGCTTGATCATCGAATGCTTTTGTACGATCGAAGATTTCGTTATCGTTGGCGTTTCGTCTTAATCTTTCGAAGACGACATTTGCTGCAACTTCCAAGTATTCGTCTTCGGTTGGAGCATGATAACATTCGTCCAGATCAATCGATCTCTTAACGATCCTCTGTCCCGGGCTGGATGCCTTCAAGAAACTAGTATAATTCTCTTTGACCATACAACTCGTGGCAGGAGGTTGAATGAAGCCCAGAGGTAGCGTAAAGATAATCCAACAGGAAAGAGAAGCTAACAGAATCAGCTTACCTTTTTGCCATCTATGAAATTCGAATCGATATAAATTATCTACATAAAAAGCTTATTTTTAATGAAACACAATTTTAAAGATTCTGTAGGAATAGAAAGAAAAAAAAATATTATACAACAGAAGAATCCGAAGAAGACTCACCTGTCAGCCAAAGAACCCCAGAAAGGTGCACTAAGGAATTCAATGAGAGGTCTGATTCCAATAAGTAAACCGCACTGAGCTGCATTCATACCCATTTGCTTGAAATAAACTCCCATAAGAGGAAAGAGAGAGCCGAAGGCCGAATAGAAGAAGAAGTAAAAGGTCTTGACCGTGAGAAGTTCTTGATCGACGGAACCAAAGAGGTATTCTAAGAAGTCACTCTTACCCCTAATCTTGTGCGTGGCTTCCTTAGGTTCGGGATATAGGGTAGGGTCGACCTCACCCTGAGCTTGAGGATCGACCATGGGCCTGACTCCTGGCACCTGAGGAAGATTCCTTCCGGATACCGTATGTTGCTCATCCTGTCCAATTGTTCCTTCCTGTACGCCATAGTCATAATCCTCGTGGCCATAGTTCTGCATGGCTTTAATTCACCGGCCAATTTATTTTCTCTCTCTCTCTCTCTCTCTCTCTCTCTCTCTCTCCTCCTCCTTCTCTTCTCCTTTAGAAGAGAACTAACAATCTTTGCTCTTGTTCGAAAGTTTTTCAGAGTTTATTCTCTCGAATCCTCGGTGGGTGCCTCTTTCCTCTCGTATAACCACGTCCCAATCCCTTTAAAGTACCCAGTCGAATCAATGTCCCGAGCGTGCGCCACCTACTCCATTCGCGAAATCGATAGTTCAGTCAGTGCGCCAGCGCAACTTCCCCTTCGACTTTCTTTAGACAGCCGCGAAATCTCGCCCGCCAAAAGCTTTACGTCTTGTCTCGTCTAGAATATTAATTCGATAATCCTCAAAGTTAATAATAAGCACGTTTATATTTACCATTGTACAAGGCCAGTCTAAAATAGAAATGTTTAAATATTAAAATTTTATATCGAAATTATTTTAAGTTTCTCCCATGTTACCGTCTTTTTAATGTTTAATCGAATATATTAATATTTAAATATTTATTTATTGCAATTCGCTTATATTACAGATTGTTTAAATAATTCCAAAATTATCAAAAGTATTTATTTATAAGTTTACACGTTTAGATAGAATTTCGATGTGTACTCGTTGAAACGTAAAAGAAAATTACGTCGATAATCCTCAAAGTTAATTAAAAGACCGAATGTTTACGTTTCACAAGGCCAATTACCTTGAGATGAAAATTTTTTAATTAAAATTATTTCAAGTTTCTTGTGCTTAACTATCTTTATAAAAAAAAATCAAAAATTCAAAAAGGATATGTCCTAGATTAAACCTTCGGCTTTAAAATAAAACATTATTCATCAAAATCGCTCAAGAATTACGTCTGTTCTCATTGATGGCGTAAACCAATATAACGTCAGGGGTAGTGAACAGCATTAACGCACATTACTCGTTTATATATCAAAGTTCATGCATGTTTCGCCGAGATAAACTGAATTATATATTTGTATTTTTATATATCTAAAACATGATGATATGATAATCGTAAAATGACTCGTAAAGATTCGATTAGAATTGCAAGTTCGGCTTAATTTATCTTTCGCGATGACAAAATATTATTCGAATTGACGTTGAACGTTTTTTTTCTTTTTTTTTTTTTTTTCACGACAAAATTGTTATACGTATTGAATGCGTATGTATACATAGGCACATATAAGTGATTACGATTTGATATTTCTAATCATTTTGGGGTCGAAATTTCACCCATGATAACCTTTAATAATTGAGATGAGACATGCGTGGAAAGAAACTTGCAAAACGAAGCGTCATATTCTCCTTTGCAATGCGCTTGGACGTCTCTGACCTCCTTTCTCAAAGATGACATAATTCGTCTTTATATTTCCTTTTCCGCTTCTTTCTTTCGTCGATAAAGGGGTTGAGCTATACAATTACGTTCGTACGAATGTCGATGGATGCGCAATGTAGAGTTGCAATATAAATGCAATAAAGAGAAATAAAACGAGAGAGAGAGAGAGAGAGAGAGAGAGAGAGAAAGAGAGAGAAAGAGAGAGAGAGAAAGAGAGAGAACTAGCTACTACCACAATGAACAATTCGTCAAATATAAAATAAAATAAACGTATTAAATTTGGATAATGGAAAATATAAATAGTTTATGGATTATACCGATTGATTTTGGTTTTGTTCTATATAACATAGTCTTAAATGGACAGACAGCTTATGAACAACTAATTAGGCATAGAATTAATGAGTAATGCTTTCTTCTTTTCTCCCTCATCCTATAAATCGATAGATAATTTGATCAGAGATATTTCATACGTGACAACATTATTCCGATAAGTATATTTAGGTTGTCATATTAATGTTAATTATTATTAAATTAATAAGGAATATGTACACTAAATTAGGATATATCATTATAATTGACAACTTTTTTTTTTTTGTATATCTCTGTTATAATTCATAAAGTTTCCAATAATACCTATCGAGTTTTTTTCGAGTGTGGCCTTTCGAGCAACCTTTTGTATCAGGTTCACTGGAATAATTCGAATTTACAGGAAGGAATCGAGCCGTGAGCCTTTCGCTCTGATTAAAAAACCGACGAGAAGGATCGATCGAAGCGACGACTAACGGACGAACCATATCTGAGAACGGCATGTGTCTGGAAAGAACGGAATCTAGAGACGCATATATTTCCTATCTATTGCTACTCGAGATTAACACGCGTTGGTCGCGTGCGAATCTTTCTCTCTAATCACCGCGATAATGACTCGTTGAAAAGAGCTTCGGTTGTTAACCGATCACTTTTCGATCGATCGATCTCAAAGCGTAAAGATTTTAAAATGATTAAATTACTTGTAATAATTAAAATTAGATCATTCGTTATTTTTCATATCAAATTATCAAATTTTAAATCAATCTATTTAATAATCCCATGTTCGTGCAATATCTACAAAAAAAAAAAAGGAATAATATTGCTGTATGAAGTTTTGTATTTATGAGTTATTTGTATACATGAATTTTGAATATTACGAAAGAACAAATTGATTTGAAAATGATCTGACGTTGTAGATAGTTGATCTTCGATGAAATAATAATAATAATAATAATAATAATAATAATAATAATAATAATAATAATCGTAGGACTTTTGAAAAATTTCCTAAAGTAGTTTTTTTTTATTTTTATTATTTTTTTTTAATTTTATTTTAAAGTCTGTTTGATTATCATCTGGTGTATGCGTGAACGACGTATGAACGGCATATGCATGACGCCTCGATGCGTCAGAGAGAAACGAAAGCGCTGCATGTTCGTCCTTGACATCCTGATTAAATGGACTGTGTTAACATCATCTTTCGTATTTTCAAGAAAGATAAAATATCGAAATGAATGAAAAAAAAAAAAAGTAATGGACTTTAAAAAAGAGATTCATTGTGAATAGATCAAAACTTAAATTGTTAATAAATAATTTGTTTATTCGATTGTCATGCTACGATATTCATAAAATATGTAGGTATAATAACGTTTAGACTTAATTAAATATTAATTATGTACAAGTTGCATCGTATCGATGATGCTTGTTGAATAGACGTGCATGCTTGATGCAAGTCGATTAATTTAGTTTTGCGAGTTTAAGATAACTCGTGGAATCAGATCCATACGAGAACGGTCAGGAACAGCTGCAGAAGTTGAGGATGGTGCTGGCTTCGGTGGTCCTTGGAACATACAGGTTTTGGCAGTTTTTAAAAGACGACCATTATTTGCGGTTCTCCAATAAACCGTACGGACTGCCTGCTTTCCGGCTACGTAACTAACTGAACCACCAATCAACATCTGTAACAAAAAAACGTAACGTTTTGTTCTTTTTATTCTCAGAATTTTTTCTTTTCTTTCTTGTTTTATTCTTTTTTTTTTTTTTATATAAGTCGTCAAATACTCCGGAGAAATATATTTTAAATTTTCACACATATGCAAATAGATAGATACGCGTTCAGACGTAAGCAGCGTATCATTGCACTTCTTAACTATTATTCCAAATCCAAACGATCAAATATATATATATATATATTTAAGAAAAAAGTAAAGAAGAAACGTACCTTTATAGTATTGGCTTATACTGATTTCAATGACTAGATAGTATGAATATAACTGTTCTTCCAGTTATATTTTCAAGTTTCGAAATGCCAGAAGAAGGCTTCGATCTTTTGTTTCCTTGTCTCTACCTCATTCGTGGTTCTTCGCTTAGAAGTGTGATAGACTGATGAAAGAGCGCTTCACTCCGGATAATTTATACGATAAATCGAGTGTCACGCGTCATCGAGATAGCGTCATTCACGACGTACGATTCGTTCGTATTACTTGGAAAATCTCTCACCGATTGGTGCTGGGATAAAGACATATTAATATTTTTTTCTCCATTCCCTTGCGTCTCATCATCCTTCGTCACGTGAAAGATAAATCGTTAGAATTTCTCTCGAACAAAAGCCGGATCAAACTCGAAACTTTCGTCATTTTCCCAGAAATTTTATCGATTTTTATGTAACCGACAATTATAAAAATTTGTATATTTTTTATTTACTTATATTCGATTACGATATTAGTTGTTCTGTTGCATCGCACAAAAACAATTATTTCTTTATCTCTCGTATTGATTTTGTAGAAAGTAAGTACTTATGTTATCTATTGATATATCTTTTCTTTCTACCCTCTCCCATCTCGTGAACATCTTGTGCACGTTGATAAAAGACGTAATCCACCTTCAGAGATAATGCTTGAGAAAGTTCCGTTCACGCGTCAATGGAAAATTTATGACGATTAAAAGAGGTTCACTTGGGTCGCATAACAATTGAAGTAATACATATATACATATGTGTAACAATTTTACTAAAGCATTCATGAAATAAGACGTAACATGAGTTTGCAAAGTGTGTCGAGTAAACAAGATGACATAGTTAAAATTTTACATTATTTTTTTATTTATAATTTGTCAATTATGAAATTGTCGAATAATTGTCGAAATCTATAATGTTAACGATATGATGAAACAAATGATTTGTTTCACATTCAAATGGGATGATTACCGGTGCCAATGAGTCTGGAGCGGTAACAACTTGTTTTCTTATCTTTAAAGAGCACGCTTCTTCCTTATCATACAGTATTTTATCCACTTTCCATTTGGCTTCATTATTTCTTTCTCTATTTTTTTTTTTCTTTTATCATTTATACAACCATATCGTATACGAGACAAGATAAATGATAAGATATTGAAAAGATATACTTATAGCTAAAAATAGAAAATTTTAATCAACGTACATTTTCTCATACATTATTTGTAAAAACAGGTACCTTATATTTTATTAATTGTTAAATTTCTTTATGGATAACAAGCACTTATTAAGAATATTATTTATTTAATTATTGATAAACAAATTGTTAACATTTAAATATTTCAAATAATAGTTTAAAAGTTCATGAAAATCTCTTTACAATGCAAGATTTTATAATTATTGTCAAAGTATCATTAACATTGATAAGTTTAAACGATTGATAGTAATTATTTTTCGAAGAAAAAATCTTCAAAATTGTAGTATGTAAAAGATTCTAAAGATTTTCTTGATTGATGTAATAAAAGTTCATGAAAATGTTCATAATACTAATTTATCTTTGCCAAGAGTTATGGCGTATTAACTTAAATATGTATGACTGATTAAAAATATAATTTATATAACTTCCAGAAATATATTATAAACATTTAAATATTTAATATATTCTATAGACTCTAAGGAATAATAAGAAACTGTAAAAGTTAATAATAAATACTTAATAATTGAGAAATAAATTATTAAAGTTTATCGGATATATTTATGTATTCGGTATATCTATATATGTAAGTGGCTATAATCGACTACCATATTGTCGCAAAAATGTTCGATTTGTAATAGGAACATAGAAAAGTAGAGGAGGTTACTCAATAAAAGGCGCGAAAATATAGTTGAGATTGTAACGCTAGATGGTGCTAGGGGTATTAACAAAATCTATTATTAAGTACTTGCTGCTCCGCTAGATGGCACAAGTGGTATTGAAAATTCCATCTCTGATAATTTAGTACTTGTTCCCATACTAGATGGCGCCAGAGATATTTTCAGGGAGAAAATGAAAAATATTTATGTTAAACATTTTCTTTTCATTTTTATTGAATAATACATAAAAAATACATTGTATTTGATATATGTATTTGATAAGAAATTCGCTTTATCATATCAATTGAACTTTAATACAATATCATATAATACAATATAAATATATAATTTAATATAGAATATATAGAAATGTGTAAAATATAATTATAATTATAATTATAAGTCTAATAATATAATTAACAAATTATTTTTTAATGTATTTTTAATTATAATCATATCATTAGTAAGAATGGTTTTATATCCCTGTCGCCATCTAGCAAGGAAACAAGAACTAAATTATTAAAGATGGACTTCTCAAGACTACTTGTGCCATCTAGCGGAGCAATGAGTACTAGAAGTCTTAATAATAGATTTTTTTAATACCCCTGGCACCATCTACCATCTCAATCTGAACTACATTTTCGCGCCTTTTATTAAGTAACCTTCTTTACTATTCTACGTTCCTATTACAAATCGAACATTTTTGCAACAATATGGTAGTCAATTACAGCCACTCACATATATAGATGTACTGAACATTGATATATATATATATATGTATAGTAAACTTTAATAATTTATTTCTCAATTATTAATTATTCTTTATTAACTTTTACGGTCTTATATTATCCTTGAAAGTCTGTAAAACATTTTGAACATCTAAATGTTTATAATTTATTCCTGGATGATAAATAAATTGCATTTTTAATCAGTGATGTTTAGGTTAATACGTCACGGATATTATTTATAAAATAATTAATTATTAGGAATATTTAATGAACTTTTATAACATCATATCAATCGAGAGAGTCCTTAGAATGTTCTACATACTATAATTTATAATACTTCTTCCTAAAATTTTTATAAATAATTATTATTAATCATTAAATCAATATTAATGAAACTTCGACAATAATTATAAAATTTTCAATTACAAACAACTTTCCATGAACATTTAAAATATTATTTCTATCTACAGATTCTACAGAATATTTTCAATATCTAAATGTTAACAATTTGCTTTTGAAAATTAAATAAATAATACTCTTAACAAGTACTTCTAAATCACAAGATTTCACGATTATTAATTACAGAAATAAAGAATTTAGTAGAGCATTTTAATTAAAATAATTATATCTATTATTTAGATCATTTAATAACAGTTCCTTCTACTTGATGCAATGATGGGAAATCTATCAAAGATGAGATGTCAAATTCCTTCTAATGTCAAACAATTGTTTTAACTTCGCGATAGAATATTTACACAACATTTAAAAAAGAAACTGTAATGAGCAATAGCATATTAAATACCTGAAACAGTAAATGTTATTATTACTTAAAATCATAGTTTACAAAAATTAATATTTTCTTGAAAAACTACAGTAACTGAAATATTACTAATAAACACAAAAGATAGAGTGATAGAATAATAGAATTTACATGTATAATTATTCATTTTTACTGTCTTGTGATTTATAATTATAGATATTTATAATCAAAAATTTTAATTACCATCTTCATTACAGATACAATTTTAATTTTGCAAAATGCTGATTTTTTCAAATATAATAAATTATAAGAACTATATGCATGATCTATCTGCACTAATTGCACTGAATGGTAACATTATATTTGCAATGTCTCATCTATAAAATCACAGAGATCTACGACATAAAAATATTATATACAAGAACGAGATCTATAATTCGTAACATTATGAAATATTGATAGTAAAGTGTAATACCATTTCATATGCATTTCAATTTTTAAAACTTGAAGACTGCCTTTCTATAGATACTTTCTGACAATCTATTACATGAAATGACAAATTAACTGTATTATTCTTTGATTTAAATCAATTTACAATAACATTAAATAAAAAGTACCTGTTTTTATATCAGCTTCAAATTTAAATAAAATATAGAATGACATTGCCTACAATTATATTGCAAAAAATAACATTGCAAACATTAATGAAACAGTAATAATAAAACTTGTTACATTCAAATATTTTTTTGCATAATTATTAAATAATCTATAGTATGTATTTAGTTTTGTCACATTTAAATACAATATTTGATCTTTGTTTAAACATTATATAACTATTAACGTACCTTGAATGTAAAGTAATTTTAATAAAAAATTTCATTAGACTTGCAGTCACTGGAGGACAGTGAACAAAACAAAAACAAATGCGCGATTCGTGGACGACTTTGAGTGTTCTTGGAATCAGTCTTCTGTTGTATTTTAGTAAGTAAACAGCTTTCTTTTTATATACATTCGCTAGATTCATTTCTCTCGTCGATTACTTTACTTTCATTTAAAAGATCTATAGTACTGATCTGTATTATTTGAACAATATTCCATTTGTTTTACCATAATATAAATATTAACATACCCTGAATATAATGTAATTTTTATTAATAATTTTGTTTAAAGTTCAAAACAACAAACACACATGTGATTAACTTTTATAGTAGACGTTTCAGTCTTCTATTAATTTCTGTAGAACTCTCTATATCCATTCTTGTACTCTTTGATATTGCCTCATGCTATAAGAACGTTTTTGACAGTCTGCAAAATGAGGTGACCAGTTAGTTATGTGTTCTTTAATGCGAAGCAATATGTAATAATGAAATATTAAATATACAGTACCTCTTATAATATATCCAAGTAATGTATAAGACAATGTAAAAGTTGTGATCATCTATTTTGAATGCATAATGAGTAGAAGTCTCTGTCTTCGATGATAAGAATATTTTTTCAATTTCTCTCATCTATGAAATAATATAGAAAATCTACAACATAACAATATTATTTAGAACAAGATACAGGATTTATAAAATATAAGAGTATAGATGGTAAAATGTAATACTTATATCTATGGATTTAAATTTGTTTACCTTTAAAAGGAATTTTGACAGATGCCTCAACAATATATTATTGTAGAAAAATTTTGACAATCTATTACATGAAATAAAATTCATTTGTATGCGATACTTAATTGTATTGATTCATCCACTTAGAATAAATTATTAAGAATGCAAATAGTTTTATTTAATATGATTAGGATAATACTTTTGCAAAGAAGTAAAAACAGTGGGCATATTGTAGTCATAATTATATGGAAAATATTATGTACTTCTTGTATTCATTTAAAACAGACTATATTTGTTAGGAACATTTATGATTTAAAAGGCACATAATATTTTATCAGATCTTTAAATTTAAAAATATTTTTGTTGTGTTTTAAGTCTGATAAAACATACTAAATGCATAAACTTTTATGCACTTTTAGTAATTACAATAGAATAAGAATTTTATCCATAAATCTTTGCTAGGTTTGACAATAACATATCATTAAGATATTTACTAACAAAATTCTCTAGTCTTTCGTTACATCATATGTTCATATGTATCGAGATATTAAAAAATTATATTACACATAGAAATGACATAAACCGAAATTGCATGTATATACTTCTATACATTAATAAATTATAGATTTTCACTGTAGATTTTTTTATATATCATAAGTTAACATGCTTATATTTGCTATAATGTCACTACTTTTGTCATGTTTAGACTTATTCAAGAATAAGTGATTATATAAGTGCATATATGAAAGATGAGCACACTTCTGTATCCATGTATATATATTACACGTTTGACATAAAAAAATATTATATGTGCCATCTTTTACAATTTAAATATATATATATATGTATGTGTGTGTGTGTGTGTGTGTGTGTATATATATATGTAGATATACAGATGTTGTTCCTATAATACAACAAAATACATCTATAGAGACTGGCAAGAAGTAACGTAAATTACATAGAGATCCATATAACAATATTTACTTATTTGAAACATTTAATACTTGTAAAATATTAAATTTAATATCAAATTAAAATTATAGTTTATAATAGCACCGAAATATTTACATTTTTTTAAATCATATTAATATTACTAGAGTTATTTAAACATCAATTGCAATTTTACAAAAGAGAATAACGAAGAAAAAAAACTAAAAGAACATCTTTCAGATTGATATATATATCTGTGCGTTAAGTGATATGTATATCTAATTACGTTTTATGCTCAGACATATGATGACAGTAATATTTATACATTGGTCAATGAGATGTGCTCAAATTTTTCATAAAACGTTATCTTATATTGTTCTTATAACATTTTGAAATAAGACATCAGTTGCGTGGTAATAAATCTATAAATCAAAATAATAAAAGAGATACTATCTTTAAATTACGATTTATACAAATGAAATATATGGTAAATAATGTTAGCGAAGGCGGCCATCTATCACAGATCACACAATTTATACGATCTATATCTAATTATAGTCCTTATTTCATAAATAATACTCGACTAATCCGTAATATATTAAAGGCTACTTAAAATTACAAAAAATACGTTTACGATTATATGTCTCTTTAGGAAAATTTAGAAACTTGCACTTCTCTAATTTCATAATAAAAATATCGCACGAGCCACTGCTGCAAAGCTGATTAACTATAAGAATAATGAAGAAAATTAGAATTTCTTCCATTAGTAAATGTGCCCCATGCTGAAAAAATATGTGATTTATTTAGAAGAAATACTAATTTTTTACTCTCTTTGCAGCAGAATCCTACTTGAAATAAGTAACTATTTAGCAATAATATGTAATATTATATTTATACATTTACATTAATCATTTATTTTTCTATCATTGCAGAAAAAGCATCAAGTTTAACGTAGCCTTTATAAAAGTTTTTCTATGGAATGATTTGGAAATTTAACTTCATCTGTTCATTATGTCTGCGCATGTGTAAATTTATAGATATATTTCATCAATGTTACGATTAACATTCGAACATTGTGACATTGACAGCTTAGTTCTCATCAAATTTATTTTAATTTTCATTTATGAATTATGAATTTCATATTATGAATGAAGACAAACGCCATTTACTTTAACACCATTAGTTTCTCCTAATGAAACTTTGTTTTGCTTTTCTTGTTTCATACTTTTTTTATCAGAGTTAAATATTTTTTTTTCTGTACCATTAATACATTTTTCTTCAGTTTCGCTAGAAACGTCATTCGAACTGTCATGATCTTTTTTTTCAATTTTTTTAATTTCCTTATTCTCTGATTCCGTTTCTGGAGTTTTAATATCTGTGTCTATTTGGCCATCACATTCCTGTTTATGAGAATTAAGATCATCGATAGTTGTAAACATACTATTACAATCAGAACATTGGTGTGATTGTACCATTGCAGAATGTGTTTTCATATGTTTATCAAGTGATGAATATGAAGTACAAGTGAAATCACAATCATTGCAACTAATGTTCTCATTTTTATGATCATTTGTTAGATGCTTTTTTAGATCATATCTATTACTAAAAGACTCTTGACATAATCTACATGTGAAAGGTTTTTCACCACTATGCATAGCAACATGAATTTTAAAATACCAATCTGTGCTGAAATGTTTGTTGCAATAATTACATTTCAAATCTTTTTTTCTGTTTTTTTTTCGTAAGTTTTTCTTTACTCCTGACTTTTTACGCTTGTGTGTTTCTTGTTTAGGACTTTCATCAGGATTGGTATTTGGCTTATCTATAGGTTTTGGCGATATAACGGGTTTTATATCTGGTATAGTTAAAGCTGGTACTGAATTATCTGCCATAATACAAAATTTTGGAATGCCTTGTGTTCTATGTAATAATGATGGCTGTGTTATTAAATTAGTTATTGGTACAACACGAATGGGTGTTAAAAATGGTTTAGAATGAAACGATGAAGTTGTAACAACATGAGATTGTGATAATAACCAATCATTCAATGATATAGACTGTAAACTGGTTTGAGGTGAGTTAGTAAATTTGATAAACTGGCTTGGGATTGTAGTAGTTGAAGTGGTTACAAGTTTGCTGTTTAGTGTATGAGTTAACTTAGTTTGTGTAATATTATTTTCATTAGAACCCGCATTTTTACTTAGAACTACACTTTGTTGTGGAAATACTAGAGGTATATTTGGCATATATTTTGTAGAGATGTTACTGATAGTATTTGTTTGCTGATTAATTTGATTAGATGAGGAAGTTATGGTAATGCCAGATTGCTGAGAAGATTGTGTTTTTGGAATAATAATTAATTCTTCATTTTTTCTTAGAACGTCCATAGCACGATTATATCCTGTTATTGGATCCATGTAATCTTGCTTTTTCGTTTTTGCATCCTCTAGCATTTGCAATTCTCTTTCACGCATTCGTTCTTTTAAAAGTTGCGCACTGTCTGTTTTATTATGTCTATATTCATTCTGTCTTTTGCAGTTTTTATGGTGTATTCGAGATTTTCGTGTTTTCAATGTGATACCGCAAATGTCACAAATCTTAGACTTATTGAATCTGTTTAGCCTTATAATTGCTCTACGACAACGATCATGGTCGATGCTCAATGCATCACAGGAACTGTTTTTACAATGTTTCCATACAGGTGCATTTATTTCATTTTCTTCTATATTAACAGCTAACATAAGAGATATTCCATCATTGTCTATACACTGTTCAACGGTGACATCACAAGTAATGTTTTCACAAGGTCCATAGTGCCCACAATTCTTCTTTTTCCTTTGAATAGGGAGTAATGCAATTTCGGACTTCCCTTCAGTTTTTGAAGGTAAAAGATTTTCATCATCCGTATTTTCTTCTTTATTTGATTTAGTAGAAAATACAGTAACATCTGGCTGTTTTATTCTACTTAAATCTGTATTGATACCATTATTTTTACCTCCAAAAGTACTTGTAGAAATATTTACAATATTTGTGTTTGTAATATTTGATGTAAAATTTGATTTTGGTTGAGTATTTAGTGGAATAGTCTTAATAATAATATTAGGCTGATTGAGAAGACGTTTTACCGGATCTGACTGTAATATCTGCAAATTATAAATATTGTTATAATAATATCTGACCACATGTATTAAATCATACATTGATTATAATTAATTTATTCATTAATTCATCACAAAATTTTGTTATTCTTACACGATATATTGTCACTTTTACATATTAAATTTTATACTTACTTCCGATAAAGTCTTCTCAACATTATTTGACTGTAATTTATTTAAGTTGACAAGTTTTGGCAGTGAAGTATAAGCCATATTAAACACAAACTAACACAGATTAAAATTTTTGTAATCCTTGTTAAATGTTTTTAAATGATATCAGAGGAATAATTATAACAATTATTGAAGTAATAATTTGGACTGCTGTTTCTTGAGTTCTTTCTGAAAAACAAATAGGAATTAAAACACATTTTATTTTTTTAAGAAAGATAGGTTAGATGATTACAATTTTCTCTATTGGATATACGAAATAACATGATTAAAAAATTAGAAGAAGATATTTAATAAACATTTGCATTTACAAACGTTAGATTTAATTTCTATTACCTGTGATTAACATAAACTCAAAATTATAATTTATAACAAAAATAAGTGTAACAATTTTTAACGTTCCCAAACGTATTTTGATCGATTTGTATTTTTTTTTTGTTTAGCACTTTCTCAAGAATCATAATTTTTTTATTTTTTATATGCATTGATTAAATAAGACAAGTCATTATACCTTACAAAAAATGTAATGAATAATCGTACTGTATATCTACACTTCACCGTGATTGCCGGTAATCGTAAATTCCCAACAGCCATTTTATTAACGAAGTTTTCATATTTACACACGATCATCAATGTGACAGTTCACGACATTTCTAAAGGTAGCCGTTAATACGACTCTGATTGGACATAGTATATCGCAATGCCATCTGTGCAATATATTCTATGAACTATTATCGAAATCGATTGAACGATTTATTTGAATTTTCAAAATCAAAAGTTAGGATCGGTTACATGATTGTTCAGAATTATTTTCTTGCTTAAGTGAGTTTTTATCATAATTAACTCAAATTAACGTAATAATATAATATAATTCTATTCGTAACAGTTATATATCAAATCAATTAATTGCGTTTTGTCAAATGCGTTTGCATTCTATCAAAATGCGTTTTGTCGTATAAAATTCTTGCAAATAATATTGAAATTTATTTCTTTGATTTCATGTTTTATCATATGATAAATTCAAATTATTCTACAAAGATATTATCAAGAACATTTCTCAGCTATATTTTATTAAGAAAATCGTTCAGGTAACATAATTTCTTATATATAATATATATAATAGAAATGTAATGTTTTAATACATATGTGAATATCGATAAGATTGAATGCAGAAAACTGCAATGATAAAAACGTAGGAGTACATATATCCCACATGAGATGTCCCTAGTATGCAATAACATATCATGGCGGAATTTCAAGCTGTTCTTCGCGATGGGGACGATGGTCTTATAGGTCCGATATTATTATTATTATTTGGTTGTACCATGACCTCCTTTTACACAACGCTTCGTGCACTCGTACTAACCGATGGTGAAAACATCATATCGAATAGGTAAACCCTAATCATCTTCTAATCAAATTTTCTTTTTTCCTTTTTTTTTCGAACTTTTAATATCTCGAAAAATCTATATATTCATCTGATTTATAAATTATTATTTATACGAATTCACTTAATTTATATCTAATATAAATTGATAACATTTCTTTTTATCAATTTATTTCATAATAAATAAAATCATTTTATTTAAATTTATACAGATAAGCTATTGACAATGGCGGGTTTTTTTAAATTTCCTATACACGTGACACGTTTGTTCTGGCGCGAAATTTAATTCGAAAAAGTTTGAACTTTCGATTTGTGTTTTCTAATTGAAATTCGACGGGTTGAGCAATAGGCTTATGCGCGTGTGAGTGAATCCAACATGCATCGGAGCGATTCGTAAACCATATATATGTATTGTGTATGTGTGTATCTATATACATATATATACATATATATACATATATATATATATACATATATATATACACATATATATATACATATATATATAGACGAGCGTTCAGTCTCTCGTCACGTGCACGTGTCAAAATCAATATTTGGCGTCACTAGGTTATGATAACGCTGCGGTATATCGCGCTAGTACATACATACGCGTGTGTACGTGTGCATAATGCTAATGTACATATGTTCTGTCAAGCAACACGTTAATTTTTTTCTTTTAATCAAATATTAATTCTTTATCTATCCATGGATCATATCATCCTAATTTCCGTTTCTTTATATACTACAAAAAATGTCTCTGATTGTGATAATATATAAAGGCAAATATTAAAATATATAAAACTAAAATTTTAACGAAATCTCTATCAACTTTATGGTAGAACTAAATATTTACATTTTTCTATTTTTATTTATCATAATTAATATATATATATTATAACATTATATAAATATATTTAAATAATTCATTTATAAATGATTTTGAAAAAAGTTTATAAGCAAAGAAACAATGGAAAGGTTTAACTTTGGTCTTTTCACTTTATTGTCTCGCTAGTGAATGCTGCTAGGAACATAACACATACACATGCACACATACATATTTATACATACACATAAGTAGACATAAGTAAACGTAAGTACACACATACACGAAGCTTCTGCCGTAGTGAGCCCGGATATATAAGTCGTCGATGTTACCGCATCTATCGCGTCTTCTATTGCAACAGATGCCTGTTGCTATGCAGCCAGTACGACACCGACCCATTTTCGACCATCTACGATTTCTCCCGCTCTCTCCCATCACCCTTTTTCTCTCGAGACGACGAGTAACTTTTTCTATTTTCTCATCGAATCAAATTTCATTATTAATATTTAATCGATATATTCAAAATATACAATACAAGTCTGAGTGTGAAAAAAGATGTATAAATTTAGAATCTAATCTTAAATCCTATTTTCTTCGCGACGAATGATTAGAAGAAAGTTTAAACTATCGAATGGGATAATATATGTGTTATCGATCGAATATAACAATATCGGCTTTATTATCTGTAATAATGCGTTTAATTGTTATAATTAGCGAAATGGATTATCCATATTTCTCATCATACAAATTCCGAAATCTATTGCGACGTGGAACGAGAGAGAAAAAAAGGAAAAGGGGAAAAAATATATAATAATGCCTCACGATTATTGAAAATTATTGGAAAAAGCAAATGCAATTAATTTAATCGGAAACTTTTTGATCGGGCCATTGCTGATTCTTGTTACAATTTTATAATAACCCATTCGAGAATTTAAATATCGATCTGATTTATGAATAGCAGAAAGGTTAAGAGAAAAGTTTGGAATTTGGATGTTTGAAAAGTTATTTTTTATTGTTATTTAGTAGAGGGCGTCGCGTTGAAACGATAAGAAAGAAAAGAAAAGAACGTAGCGTCCCTATCGCGCGTAATTAAGGACCAAGAGGGGGTGGATTGGAGATAGAGGTGGAGAAGGATGAGAGAGAGGAGAAGGGTATATAGCATCGATCGGTTCTCTCACGTATAGATATACACACATGTACACGCAGCTACGCACGCATACAGTTGCGTAGTCCCGCGTGGCCAGGAGAGGGCGAGGAATATAAGGGTGGTAAAGGGGTGAAGAGAGTGAGGGGTTGGTTGTCGAGGTTGTTCGTGCCGAGGGAGACGAAGAAGGAAGAAAAGAGATGAAGATATATAGTCGAGAAAGAAAGAAAAGGAAGGAAAACTTAAGAGCTTGCCGAAAGTAAGAGAGAGAGAGAGAGAGAGAGAGAGAGAGAGAGAGAGCGAAAGAAAGAAAGAAAGAAAGAAAGAAAGAAAGAAAGAAAGAAAGAAAGAAAGAAAGAAAGAAAGAAAGAAAGAAAGAAAGTAAATATATGAAGGAAGAAGAAGAAAGAAAGAGGAAGGAGAAATATGGACGTTCGGTTGGCCCCGAACCTACCCTAAATCGAAGAAGCATGGGACACACCCTGGAAGAAAATGGGGATGCGGGGTGGTGGTGATAGTGATGGTGGTGGTTCGGCTGGGCAGGATGGGATAGTACCATCGTCTCGTCCCCACCTTTATCTCTCTCTCTCTCTCACTCCCTCACTCTTCGATATCTTATTTCGTTGTCTCACCCTCTTTTTCTCTACCATCGGACGAGCTACCCCCGAAGCATCTCTCGCGTAGGTAACACGACGGGAGCGCAGCCTCGGCCCAGCAGCCCCTTCGACGAGCCTCGTCTATCCACCGGCGTCGATTCGCCAATGAGGGCCACCCCGCGACGAGGCAGGTGTGCGGGCCACAATGGAAGACGCTGTGTAGAGAGACAGATGCATCAGACGGAGAGATGTAGCGCACCGGCTCTCTGTGTGTATATGTGTGCAACAGAAAGAGAGAGAAAGAGAGAGGGAGGAAGAGGAAGAGAGAGAGAGAGAGAGAGAGAGAGAGAGAGAGAGAAAAAGAGAGAGAGAGCGCGAGAGGGAGAGAGAAAGAGAAAGGGATGTAGGTTGAAGAGAGAGGAAAATAGAGGGAGAAAGAGAGAGAGAAGGAGACAGTGAGACGCGGCAACGCCCATTTTTTGATAAGCTAGTTACCCGCCGCCGCCGCCGCCGCCGCCGCCGCACCACCGCACGAGGGGGTGTTCGGAGGCGCAAGGCTGCGTGGGAGGTGAGACGAAGGAGGAATGAGAGAGAGAGAGAGGGAGGGAGAGAGAGTGAGCAGCAATGAGAAGGAGGTAAGGGGGTGGCTAAGGGGGAGGGAGAGGTGAGTGGGTACGCCGGGTGTCGGCTTCTACGGAGATCAATAACTGCATAAAAATAAAGTGAGGCTCTGGCCCGCTACCTTTAACCCACACTACCCCCTCCGAGTTCTCCACCTTCACCTTTTCCTCCACCTCTAACGGCGTAGTTCTCCTACGCCGCCCCTCGGACGCCTCCTTCTCTACGCAACGTCTTTCGAGCTATCCCTCTCCTTGCTCTCTCTTTCTCTCTCTCACCCTCTTCCCCTTCTTCATTTCCTCTTTCTCTCTCTTACACCTTCCTACTTCCAATGAGGATCCGGAGGTTATTGCTTGTATTTTCTTAAGGGATGAATTCTTCTCAAGGAGAGGCCGATACCAATACTATCATATCCGCACACTTACATCAATATACTTAAACGCTATCACAATTCACGAGTTCATGGTTCTAGCAACAGGGGGAGGGAGGGGAGGTCGGGCAGAGGATGTACGGTCAGTTTCTCCTTCATTTATCTTTCCCGTCTTATTCTATAAAGTCTTTTGGATCTCTTCTTTTATGTATATATTTTATAAAAAACCAATGGAATTCTTTGGAAAAGTACAATGATTTTATATCGATTTTTTCTTATTTTTCATTCATTTCACAGAATTTATGATCGATAAGGAAAAGATGCGGTTGAATTGTAAAATTGTAGACTTTGATATTTGCAAGTACGTCCATTGAACCCCGCAACTATTCCTCGTGTTTAGAAAGCAACAAGTCCTTCTTAAGCTACCATGCGAGTCTGGATTTTACTTGGAAACCCAATACAAGAGATCAATACGTTTATCTCGAGATTTTCTAAACGTTTCTTGTAATAATCGAAAAATATGTTTCTTTTTTTTTTTACTAAGAGAAAGAAAAAAAATATATCCTGTTCGACAATGACAATCTCTTCTCGTATCCTGAAATGACACAAAGAAGTTGCATCGATCCTTTTCCAAGAAAGTTATCGTGTTTCCACAGATTCCTTTTAAACTAGTGTGCGTTACTACTACTGCCTCAGTGTTATCGTTCATCCACCACAAATGTACCT